CAGGCTCCGAGATGGATATAGAAAATCGACTCAGGCCGTACCTAGAAAGAAGCTGCCGCCCCCAATTATCCTTCAGGACAAATCGCGCTGGAGCAACCTATCCAAGTGGATAGACTCCAAAAAGATATTCTGCCCTAAAGTCCACAATGGACCACAGGGCATCCGTATCCACGTCGCAACGACGGACGATTTCCGCGCTTTAATTGCGCACCTTAAAGCTCAGAATCTGAGCTTCCATACTTACTCTCTCGCGGAGGATCGTAACCTCCGTGTTGTAGTTCGCGGACTCCCTAAGGAGCTAGAAACCGAGTTCATACTAAGCGATCTTAAATCGCAAAACCTGCCAGTCAGAGAAGTGCACATGCACCACCCAACCGATAAGAAACGTTATCTTGATCTTTGTCTAGTAATACTGGACCTGTCTTCAGAGGGCAAAGAAATATACAACATCACTAGGATATGCAATCTCACGGGGATTGTTGTAGAGTCCCCGCGTAATAGGGGCATGCCAATTATACGGCCACTCGACCAGGAATTGTTTCGCCCGGCCTAGGTGCGTCAAGTGCCTAGGCGATCATGGCACTACCGAGTGCCCTCGAACGCCCGAGACGGAGGGCCCTCCGAGCTGTGTTCTGTGCGGCGAAGAGGAACACCCAGCGAGCTATCGCGGGTGTTCCAAAGCGCCGCGTAGGAAGCAGAATGGAGGAGCAATCCGGCGCGGACGTGCGGGAAACCCCCAGTAGGTCGCGCTCACGGCATTTTGCGCCATCGATTGCACCAATCTCGGTGCCGCAACCCGCGCCCGCTTAGGCTACAGCCAAGCCCGCCCCCGTTAAAGGGACTTCCGGGCAAGGCCCAAGCCTTCCGGTGGCTTCAGCACCTAAGCCCAACGCATGGGTTAGGCCCCCGGCAATAGTCAGCGCGGCCGCCTCACGGCCAGTGCCTCCTCGCCAGGCCCAGAAGCCCAAACCCGCCCCTCAGGCACCGTCAAACATCGACACTGACCTTTCGTTAGTGTTCAACTTCGCCAGCAGCTTTAATGTGGCCGAAGTCACAACTCTAGCCCGCAAACTTCGCGAAGCTAAATTAATCAAGATAGGCTCAATGCTACCATTGAGCATCTTAGTCTTATCCAAGCGATAGGTTCGTTCCAGTGCGCCTAAGCGACGCTTTTCTTTTATAACTAAAATGGAAATAAGACCTATAGGTAGAACTAAACCTAGGTCTCTGACTGTCGCGTACTTTAATGCAAACGGTGTCAGAGATCAAAAGGAAGAGATCATATATTTTTTTACGCAACCATGATATTGACATCATGCAAGAGACCTTCTTGAAACCTAGTTTGAGCGATCTCAAAATAGCCAATTATACCCTAGTAAGAAATGATAGGCTGACCGGACCTAAAGGCGGCACCTTGATCTACTACAAAAGGTCCTTGCAATGTGTACCGATAGATACTCCGCCGCTTACTAACTTAGAAGCGTCGGTCTGTAGGATAGCACTTACGGGCCATCCGCCATTAATAATTGCATCAGAATACTTGTCTCCCTTAAAAAGTATATTAGATTCCGACATATCGGCTCTATTAAACCTAGGCCCTAGCGTTTTAATCGCAGGAGACCTAAATAGTAAACACGTTAGCTGGAATTCTAACGTTAACAATCCTAATGGAATTATTCTAAGAGACCTCACGGAGAGACTTATTTGCCTCCTTGTTGGAATATTTAACACCTTTCTCACGAACTGCTCCTTCCCGGACATCTGGAAAGAAGCAGACGTAATAGGGATCCCAAAACCGGGTAAACCGCGTAATCGTCCCTCTAGCTACAGACCCATTAGCCTGCTCAACACATTGGGCAAACTATACGAGCGCATTATTCATAAGCATCTCCGTCATTTCACCGAAGCTAACGGACTCCTCCCAGACGAACAGTTCGGCTTTAGAGCCAATCACTCATGCACTCACCAGATTCATCGCCTAACAGAATACATTCTGTCTGGCTTCAGCCAAAACCCGTTAAGGAAAAAGGCTCGAAACACGGGAGCCCTCTTCTTCGATGTCGCGAAGGGGTTTGACAAGGTCTGGCACGACGGCTTGATTTACAAGCTGTACAAACTAAACGTGCCCGATAGGCTCGTGCACATCATTAGAGCTTTCCTTTCGAACCGCACTTTTCGATATCGAGTGCAGGGAACACGTTCTTCGAAACGTTTCCTCAAGGCCGGGGTCCCACAGGGCTCCGTACTATCTCCACTCCTTTTCCCACTCTTCACGAGTGATATCCCAAGAGACCCCGTAGTGAACACCGCTCTCTTTGCCGACGATACGGCACTCTTTGTGTCAGACCCCAACAAAAATAGACTCGCTATAAAGCTACAAAAAGCGACCAATCGCCTTGGTGAATGGTTCCGCCTATGGAGAATTGACGTGAATCCTGAAAAAAGTGTAGCAGTATACTTTCAACGGAATTCTACAGGAGGTTCTAAACCCAAAACAATCTATACGACCGCCCAATCCCTTGGGAAAAATCGGCCAAATATATAGGCGTCACTTTCGACTCCCGCATGAGTTTCTAGACGCACATAAGTTTAGTACGCAACAGAGCCAAGTCAATAATTGGCCGTCTACACCCTCTCGTTAACAGCAAGAGTAAGCTGTCGCTAAGACACAAACTCCGGCTGTACAAAACCTGCATTAGACCAGTTATGTCCTATGCAAGTGTAGCTTTCGCCCACACATATAAGACCCATATTTTAAAACTCCAAAGAGTACACACCCTTTTATCCGAAAAGCCACGACGTGCACGGTGGTATCAACGGAGCTCCGATTTACACAATGATTGTGAACTACCATCTATCTCCGAATATTTTAAGATGTCCCAACGCTACTTTGATAGACGAAGACTCTAGCTAATAAGAAAGACCTCTTTAAGAAATGGCAAAGCTCGCAACTAGATGAAGACAAAGACTCATATAAAGAAGCGAAGAAACAGGCAAAGAAATGTGTAGCCATAGAAAGAGCAATTAGCAACCAAGCCTTCTACAATAATTTGGAAAATGCTAAAACTGTAGATGAAGTATTAAAAGTAGCAAAATTTAGAAACAGGACCACTAGGGATATAAAGACAAACAAATACATTAAAAGTAAAGACCAAAAATTGTTAACAAACAACTCACAAATTATGGATAGATGGTATGAATATTATAAACAACTATTAAATGAAGAATTTCCAAATGAAGACCCTACACCCTGCAAATCTACATCTGGACCAATACCTAAGGAATATAGCTGAAGTCAAACAGGCAATAGCCAAAATGAAAAACCGAAAAGCTACAGGCCCAGACGAGATACCAGCGGATCTATGGAAAGGCCTTGGTACAATAGCGGGAGTATGGTTAACCAAGCTTTTAAACATTATTCTAACGACTAATCGCATTCCGGACTCTTGGCGTCAAAGCTATCTACTACCGTTCTATAAAAATAAGGGCAATGTAACGCAGTGTGAAAATTATAGAGGTATTAAATTGACCTCACATACACTTAAAATATGGGAACGAATTATTAATAAACGGCTCACTGACATTGCTGAAATATCTCCAAATCAGTTTGGTTTTACAGTATCCAGATCAACTATTGATGCCATCCAAACGATTAGAATACTGATGGAAAAACATAAATTAAACAATAAAGACCTACACCTAGCATTCATAGACCTAGAACAAGCCTTTGATCGAGTTCCACGTAGGCTGGTATGGCAGGCACTTCGTGCCCAAAGGGTGCCGGAGTATTATATCGCACTTATAAAAGATATGTACTACAAGGCTAACACGAGAGTCAGAAGCCCAACCGGCATGAGTAAAGCTTTTGAAGTCAAAGTGGGTGTCCATCAGGGATCTGCTCTAAGTCCTCTCCTATTCAATCTAGTGATGGACTACCTCACTAAGGATATACCTGCCCCATTCCATGGCAATGACTATTCTATACGCGGATGACATTCTCTTAGCTGCTGATACCGCAAGCCATTTGCAGGAAACTCTTAATATGTGGACACACGCTCTTGAAAAGTACGGCCTGAGGGTGAGTAGGAGTAAAACTGAGTATTTGAAATGCCCTTTCAGTGGAAACACGGTATCTGAAACTATCTGTATTGGGACAACACCTATTCCTACAGGAGATAAATTTAAATACTTGGGCTCTATGCTTACCACAGATAATAATAATAATAATAATCCCCCTAACCCTCGGCCGTTTGGTCTCCCCTGCCGAGGGCCTCCATCTGGTTGGGCTTTTACTTATTTATGTACTTTTATATTTATTTTATGTTATTGATATTTATGTATTTTTCTTTTCATTTATAATTATATATTTATATAACCCAACCAGATGAGAAAACTATATAGATACCCCATATAATAATAAATGATTTATTATTATTTTGATATAATAATTTATTTTTTTTAAAGGCGTAGGGAAGTGACGACCCCATCGCCCGCTGATATAACGGTTATGTGACAAAACCGCTACGTCGGCGCAGTCAGTCAGCACCTTGCCAAGAGGTGTTAGTGCCGTGCCTCGGCAAAAATTGAAGGTGCCAAGGCCCGCTTGTGCACATGGCTTAACCATGAAACGGCGCCGGGTCTGGGCGTCTCCCGCTAAATGACGCCCTAAAATGGATGATGGAATCAAATGGAACGCGCAAAGGGCCGCTGCCTGGAGGTCGCCAGGGCGCGTCTGGAGCTGGCGCTGGACGCGACAGCATGCGAACCGCCAGCCGAGCGCGAGGTGCTGCACGACCATCCAGCAGCTCCTCGCATCCATCATCCCCACCAGCTGGCTTGGTGTCGGCAGGGTCTTCGCGGGCTCAGCAATCGGCACCCGCCACTGGTGGAGTACGCCGCATGCGTTGGACAACCCAGATGAACAGCAACGCATTGCGGGCGTATTTTAGGGTTTTAGGGCGAAAGGGGGAGAAACTGGAGGTTTTGCGTATCGGGCAAGGATGCATCGACTTTTTGCTGAGCTGGAGCCATCTGTAACCGTCACCGAGCAAAACCTGGCAGACCGAGTTCGGTATATCTTGCGCTCAAATACATTTGATGTCACCGAATTCGAACGGCTACGACGTGAGGCTGTTCCTTCATCGGGTGAAAATGCTGCGGCTGAGGATGCGGCGCCACAACTTGCCGAGCAAACGGCAAATGTGGATGCCGCCGTGAATACGCCAGTTGTGGTTGATTCAAACGATGATGGAAGTCGCCAGTCGCCCAGGAACTGGAACTAGAGCAAATGAGGAGTACATTGGAAGAGGCGATTGTGGAAACGCGCAGTACGACTCTCGAAAATCGACCGCGACTTCCCCGCTTAGCCCTAAGCAAGCGGAATCGGGCTGTCGTGAGGGCTCTGAACCCAATGTTGGTTACCTATTTGGAAGCCAGCCGGGACCTTTGCGAGACGGACTCAATTCTTTTTGGCACCGCACTGGCAGTCTGCCGTATTATAGGTGCCAAACTTTCCACGGCTGGACGCGCTACTGGACAAAGTAGTGCTATCCCAGCCTGGAGAATAAGAATTGAAGAACGTATCGCAAAGGCTAGGGCCCTCATCGGCAGACTGATATGCTTCAGGTCAGGCAATACCAGGCCAAAGGATTGTGCGCACCGTCAGGATGGCGTTTGCTGGATATAATGCAAAAACTGACGGAGCGCATAGACGACCTGAAGCAAAGAATAGCTGCTTGGGTAAAGCGGATTCGGCGATATACCTAGAGGTCGACACAGTTCAACCAGAATCGTCTCTTCCAGAGTGATCAGAAGAGGCTCTATAAATCATTGGAGCGACCAATAGTAAGTGGAACGGGCCCTGCACCAAATCAGGCCGACATGGTCGTATTCTGGCGCAGCCTGTGGTCAGAGCCCGTAAACCACAACGAGGGCCCTTGGACGGAAGTTGTGGCGAGTCAGTGTGCGAGTATTACGCCCATGGACCCCGTCATCATAACGCCGGATGACGTAGCTGAGGCGGTCCGTAGGGCCCCGAACTGGAAAAGTCCGGGGCTTGACGGGCTGCATCACTACTGGCTGAAGGGGTTCATGGTGTGTCACTCTGTGCTCGCCCGACAGTTTCAAGAGGCTCTCAACCAGAAGTCGCTCCCAAGCCTCTTCACTACTGGGATCACTCATTTGGTTCCTAAAGATCAGGGTGCCACAGACCCGAGCAAATACCGCCCCATCACGTGTCTACCGACCATATACAAGACACTAACATCCATTTTGAGCGCAAGAATCGCTCGTCACCTGGACTTAAATCAGGTGATGTCGCGCGCTCAAAATGGATGTCGGGGCGGCGGTCGTGGAACCAAGGAACCACTCCTCATTGACGCGGTCATTGGCAAAGTGGTGAAACGCAACCGTCGGAACTTCTCCGCCACCTGGATAGATTACAGAAAGGCATTTGACTCGGTGCCCCATACATGGCTAAGGAGGGTCCTCGAGCTGTACAAGATTGACTGTACAGTTCGAGACTTCCTCGAGCAGTGTATGGGGCAGTGGAGTACGATCCTCTGTCATCTAGGCGAGCGGATGACGGCTGCGGAAAGCCGCATAAGGATAAGAAGGGGTATATTCCAGGGCGACTGTCTGAGTCCAATCTGGTTCTGCCTCTCTTTGAACCCTCTTAGTACTTTACTGGAGGGCTCCGGGAGGGGATTTCAGCTTCGGAAAGGAGGTACAAAAGTGACCCACCTTTTCTATATGGATGACCTCAAATTATTCGCCTCCAGTCGCTCCCATCTTATGGAATTGCTAAACATCACGTGTGAATTGAGCAATTCTATTAGAATGGAGCTGGGGACGGATAAGTGTGCGGTCCTCCATGTTGAAAGGGGAAGGGTTGCTAACTCTGAGGGCATAGACTTATCTATGCCCGTCAACTTAAGAACCCTTTCCGAGGCTGAAACATACCGATACTTGGGTATGTCACAGAACATCGGTATCGATGAGGCTGGTATGAAACAGTCAGTTTGCGACCTGTTTTATGCACGCTTGACCAAAGTGCTTAACAGCCTTTTGTCCGGTGTGAATAAGGCACACGCATATAACGGTTGGGTCATGCCTGTCCTCATGTATACCTTTGGCATACTCAGGTGGACTCAAACTGAACTTAACGCCCTGGATAGAAAAGTCCGCACTACCATGACGTCCCATAGGATGCATCATCCGAGATCGTCGGTAATGAGGCTGTACTTGCCGCGGAAGCATGGTGGTCGTGGCTTCTTGAGCGCGCTCACCATGCATAATCGCGAAGTGTGCAGCCTCCGTGATTACTTCCTGGCGAGATCGGATGATCCATTCTATAAGGACATCATTTCTTGTGATAAAGGACTTACCCCTCTATCCTTAGCCAACGAGCAATGGCAAGACCCGGCAGTGCAGAGCATTTCCGACCGGGAGACCGTATGGAAGGAGAAGGAGCTCCACGGGAGGTTCTACAAGGCTCTACATGAGCCTTTCGTAGACACAGTAGCCTCCCTCCACTGGCTACGCTTTGGTGATCTCTTCGGGGAAACCGAGGGTTTTGTCTGTGCAATACAGGATCAGGTTATTAAGACCAACAACTATCGGAGATACATCCTAAAGGATGGCACCGTCGAAATCTGTCGAGCTTGTCGCCATCCCGGTGAGTCACTTAGGCATGTTATCTCCGGTTGTTCGGCGCTTTCTAACTCTGAGTACTTGCACAGGCACAACCTAGTAGCCAGAGTTCTACACCAGGAGCTCGCTCTGAAATACGGTCTCGTGGATCGGTAATTGCCGTATTACAAGTACTTGCCGGAAGCCGTGCTCGAAAATGATCGCGCCAGGCTCTATTGGGACCGGGCCATCATCACAGACAGGACTATTCTTGCGAATAAGCCTGATATTGTGCTGATGGACCGGGCACAGTTCATTTTATTTTTGGTCGACATTACTATTTCGTATTACGAGAACCTCGTGAAAGCCGAAACAGACAAGCAAACAAAATATCTGGACCTGGCTCACGAGGTGACCGACATGTGGGGTGGTCTGCCGACCGAAATTATTCCTGTAGTCGTCTCTGCAAACGGGCTAATCCCAGTCAGCCTCTCGGGTCATCTGAGGCGGCTGGGACTACGTGACGGACCGTTCCAGGTTCAAATGCAGAAGGCGGTGCTCCTCGATACCGCCCGCATCGTCCGCCGGTTTCTTTCCCTTTCCCCCTAATCCTCGGCCGTTTGGTCTCCCCTGCCGAGGGCCTCCATCTGGTTGGGCTTTTACTTATTTATGTACGTACGTACGTACTTTTATATATTTATTTTATGTTATTGATATTTATGTATATTTATCTTTTCATTTTCATTTATAATTATATATTTATAGAACCCAACCGGATGAGAAAACTATGTAGATACCCCATAATAAATGATTTATTTTCTCACCACAATATTACAGAATTATTGTACATAATATTAGAATATTAAACCTTAATGTTATACTGTGGGAGACTGGTGCCTAAGCTAGGCTTTACGCCTGTATTTCAGGCCACCAGGTCTCCGCCCTATGGTTGTAATTACAATACTTTTACCATGTGTGTGTGTGTGTGCGTGTGCGCGTGTGTGTGTGTGTGTGTGTGTGTGTGTGTGTGGGTGTGCGTGTGCGTGTGGGTGTGGGTGTGGGTGTGTGGGTGGGTGTGGGGGTGCGGGTGGGGGTGGGGGTGGGGGGGGGTGTGGGGGTGGGGGTGGGGTGGGGGTGTGGGCGTGGGCGTGGGTGTGGGTGTGGGCGTGCGTGCGTGCGTGCGCGTGCGCGTGCGTGTGCGTGTGTGTGAGTGCGTGCGCGTGTGTGTGTGTGTGTGTGTGTGTGTGCGTGCGTGCTTTTGTTTGTTAGTAGTGTAGTAGTAACTGGGATAGAAATTAAATTTAGGATTGGGTTAGTATTTAACTTTAGTACGGATAGTATTTAGTTAGGATTAGTGAGTAGCTTTTCAGTGTTATCATAATTTAATTCTTGTAGCCAGATAGTTATTTTATTTTTTGCATGTAGTCTTATTGACGTTAAATATAGAGATAATTTTATTGATTTTATTGTATAGAAAACCTCCGAGGTGACAAAAGAAACGTTTAGATAGTTTGGTGGATAGAGTTATATGAGTGCGGTCCACGGGGTTAAAACGCCTTTTCCCTCGGGAGAGTGAGGGATTGTATTTTAATAGAGCATGTTGTTTCAGTAAGGTTCTTTGTATAAAAAGTTGCCGTACAGTTAATATTTTCAACTCTTTATATAGGAGCTCTGTATGATAGTGATACGGCAGCGAAAACGAGACTTTTAAGATGGCTCTCTGCGTTCTCTCCAATTGGAGCATTATTGATTTTGGAGCACCGCCCCAGGACGTAATACCATATGTTAATAGAGATTGGGCCAAGGCAAAATATACGGATTTCTTTAGTTTATCATCTGCCGCGTCTCTCAGAGTTTTAAATACATATATTAATTTACGCAACCTGCTATTAAGTGTATTAATGTGTTCATGAAAACGTAGAGTGCTATCGATAATAACTCCTAGATATTTTACTCTGTCAGCTTGACGTAGTTGTGTGCAGGTGTCTGCATTATTGAGTGGATTGCAACACGAGTGACTTACGATGGTATGTGATAGAGATGATGTGGTTAATGTTTTGTTTTTTTAATCTGAACGGGACATAACATGTTTTATCTATGTTCAGTGTCAGAACGTTATTTCGAAGCCAATTTGAGACAGTGTTGTAGCCCAACTGGGCGTACGCATGGACTTCTTGCCATGTACTTGCACTAAAAAGGAGGACAGTATCATCTGCAAAACTTATGATTCGCCCTTTAGGAAGTGTGAGCATACCCAGTTCGTTAATATATATTAGAAATAAGGTTGGAGAAAGTACGCTGCCCTGGGGCGTTCCATAGGTAGTTGTGCATTCGGCACTGACGAACTTGCAATGTTGATGCAAATGTTGACACAGACGTGGCCCATAGAATAAGTGCCGCGTGGCTGAAATGGCGATCAGGGCTTACAGGGGTATTGTGTGATCCACGTATTCCTATAAAAACTAAGGGCAAAGTATATAAAACCGCAGTACGTCCCGTGTTATTGTATGGTTCTGAATGTTGGACAACAAAAAAGACGCATGAGCAAAAGGCCCATACTAACGAAATGAAGATGCTTAGGTGGGCGGGAGGTGTGACACGGCTTGACAAAGTCCGTAATGAACATATACGTGGCAGCTTTGAAGTCGCACCTATTACAGATAAAATCATTGAAAATCGCCTAAGATGGTATGGACATATTAAAAGACGCAGCGAAGATCATGCAGTTAAAATAGCTCTAAGCTTGCCAGAAACAAAGAGAAGCAGAGGACGCCCGCCAATGACATGGTGGTCTAATATCGCAAGAGACCTAAGGAAAGCCCAGTTGCCAGATGTGACAACCCAAGACCGTTTGTCTTGGCGCAGACAAGTGAGGAGACCCGACCCCAAATAACGGGATCAGGGATGGAAGAAGAAGTCCCAACGCTACTTTGATAGAGTATAAACCCACCCTAACCCGCTAGTGACAAATGCAGCTAACTACGTTCCGATAACAAACGTCGAGCCCTATCTCCGTAGACCGCGAAATGTTTTAATAGAACCACCTCTACCGCTCGATCCAGTCGATCCAAACATCGCAGGCACATCACACAACGACACTACACCCACACTAAATGGGACAAACACAAATAGGACAACGAATGGGACGTGTCGCACCCGCAGACGGGCACGACGCGTTCCAGCTCACACCGCGTACACACCGTACACCCGCGTTCCTGGACGGTTCTCACAGCCCAGACCACCGACCGACACGAACTGAGCAGTCAGAGACGGGGGGTCCGCACACCCCCCCTCGGACTGCGGTTAGATAGCTCAAAGTAAAACGCCTAAAAGGCGACATGATGATTGGCAACAATATCAAATCATAAACCATCTCATCATCATTTTCACCTCATTGCCTTTCCCTTTTTAATTAGCGCGAGCCCTGAGAAGAGATGAAGCTGTAAGAGTCGCATAGACTAACAGCACTAATATCTAGATAATAGAGGAGATACATTCATATGAATACGAACTGTCAAAGAGATAACATCAACATGGAGAAAAACGAAGTTAGAGCTGTCATCAAGTACCTCTGTTTGAAAAAATGTCTTCAAAAGACATACACAGTGACTTAGTGGAAACATTGGGGTCTCTGCTCCTCCATATTCTACAGTTGCACGCTGGGCCAAGGAGTTTAAACTGGGCAGAACATCCACTGAAGATGAACATCGCGAAGGACGCCCATCCACGTCCCTCACTGAAGACAACGTGAAAAAAGTCGAAGATGTGTTGGCAGATCGAAGAGTGACCATCAGGCATGTAGCTGAGGTCACAGGGATCTCATATGGCAGCGTTCAAAGAATCCTTGCGAACGAGTTGCATATGAAAAAGGTCTCTGCGCGTTGGGTACCCAGAATGTTAACTGACGAGCAAAAGAAAAATCGAGTTGACATTTCGAGGGTCAATCTCGAAAAGTTCCAAGCAGATCAAGAAAATTTTTTGTTCCGTTTTGTGACTATGGACGAGACCTGGATCCACCATTTTGATCCTGAAACGAAACAATAATCGATGACTTGGAAGCGAGCCTCCTCACCAGGGGGGGGGGGTACACTTCCATACCTTAGGTTGGGGTTCAATAATTTGCAAAGACACTAGTGCCCCCTTGAAGTAATTCCGCATAAACTTTCGAACGTGTTGTGCGAAATAGACGCTTTCATTTATCATTCCGGTAACCCGGTGGACATATGTAATTTGGTTTGGTGTTGTATTTTGCGGAATAGACGCTTTTACATCGTGTATGTTAAATATATATAACAAAAATAAATGTTAATATGTATTACTGAAATCTATAATACGTCTTTAATTGAACCCTAATCCCTTAAAATATAAATATAAGTATAACCGCCTATAGTATAGATAGCTGTATATACATAACTACATACAGCTATCTATAGTCAACATGATATTGAGATTAGTTCAAGGGATATGATACCAGACGGCGACACTATTCATATTGGGTGACAAAAAATCCTAGGAGATGGCTCTCTATTTCTATATATATTACTCTATTCTATGCTCCTCACCGACGTTAAAGAAATTTCAAGTTCGGCGGGAAAGGTTATGGCATCTGTTTTTTGGGACTCTCAAGGTATAATTATGGTGGAATATTTGGAAAAGGGAGCCACTATTATACGGGCTCTTACTACGCAGACCAAATAAGAAGTTTACGGGAGGCCATTAAGGAAAAAAGACGCGGCAAACTGCGAGCTGGAGTGCTGTTTCACCAAGACAACGCACCGGCTCACAAAGCCGCAGTTGCGATGGCTGCCATTCAAGAAACGGGATTCGAACTGCTCGAACACCCTCCCTATTCGCCAGATCTAGCTCCTAGTGACTTCTACCTCTTTCCTCGGCTCAAGGAACGCCTCCGAGGCAAGAAATTCGAAGACGATAGCGAAGTAATGGCCGCTGTTGAAGCGTTTTGGGAGGGTCAAGACAAAGAATTGTTTTCGAAGGGAATCCTGGGTTTAGAAAATAGATGGACTAAATGTATTGATTTGTTAGGAGACTACATATGTAGAAAAATAAATTATTATTTTAACTTTAATTACCGTGTTTTATTTTCATTATCATTACTTTTGGATCACCCCTCGTATAGCTCGAAAACCCGATAACCGATGAGAAACGAAGGTTCTCGAGTGGCAATCTCGTTCTGGTAAGCGAAGTGTAGGGCGACCCCCCACTAGATGGAGTGACGGTCTGGTAAGATGCAAGAAGTCGATGGATGCAGGTGGTTCAAGGTCGTGCTTTGTGGCATTCCTTTGGAGAGGCTTGTGCTCAGCAGTGGTCTTGTGAAGGGCTGTAATAATAATGATTTATAGTTGTGACCTCGACCTTGTGATATTCCATAGTCTACTCAAAAGTGTATAAAATTTACACAGAGAGAACATTTTAGTGTGCGTCAATATTATGCTGTTCTACAGCCGTCATATAGGTAGATTTTGATTTTCATTATAATTTATTTTTTTTGAGTTTGAAAATGAATAATGTCCTCCAAACCGATTTCCAATTACAGCGACCGGTCTCAACAGACACCAGCGATCTGCGCAGTACTGGACTGTTGTGCATGAGTGTGTACGCAAACACAGGTGCTCTCTCCATTTCCCACCAAGTTTTCATTCAAAGCAATTAGGTTGTAGTTCGTTTCTTTATAAAATTTTGTATAGATAATAACCAAAGAACAAATAATAAAATACAAATGTAAAATTAACTAATATTTTTACTTTTACCTATTTAGTCACTATGACTGATGTACTGTTAGGTGTTAGCAAATTGGATCATAAGACATTATATAATATAATTAGTCAGTTAGTCACCACAATTTTAGGTCAAGCAATTGGTAGCTGAGATTTATATCATGAATCCTGTATCCTAGGGGCTAGTTTTGGGATTTATACAGGGTTGGCACCTGTCGTGGGCATTTTAAGCACACATTCTCAAGTTTTCTTAAAAACGGTTACCATTATGAATAAACAAAGAAGGAGGTTGTTTTTTTATTAAGGAATGTAGGTACATATGAAGAAATATTTATTATACCAAAACTTAATAAAATTATTTAATACGTTTTGAAGAAAAAATCTAGTAACTTAAAAACAATAAAATCACCTGTTGATGCTCGTGTGTGAGAATGTTAGTAATGGAGCGGGTTATGCTGGCGGGATGTTAACTGGAGAGCATGCAGTAGCAGTTAGATGAGCAATAAATAACACTTCTTCAGTTTCTTCTTATTTATTTTCTTGATGCTTTATTCTTACATTGCCGGATTTGGAATTAAATAATTAAATTCACTTGTCGTCGCTAAAATCACCAGTAGTGGACAACAAAAGACTAGTAATGTACACCCAGTTATGAACTGCTCCAGTCCTGAACACAACTTCATGAACACTATCTAAAAACTATTACATTGGATTATTGGCTGTCGGGTTAACACTTAACACCCTACTCTAGTATGACTACTATTCAGTGGCGTAGCTACCTAGGCGCTAGGCGGCACAGTGCCTCGGGGCCCTCAAGCTCAGGGAGCCCTCGAATCCTAACCAGAATCTCGATCGAACTGAACTTTTTAAAATTTCTCCCATTTTCAATATATATATATATATATATCACAGGTTGGAACCCGACTTTAATCATGGCAACCCAGTTGAGAGAAATTCGAAAGTTATACCTAGGAAATTCACCTAAATTCTTTCTGTGGGTTGGCAGTGTTGTCAATGTGACGGATAATGATATGTGCGTATTATTATTCATCGATGTGCGTTTTATTGTGAATTCGAGTGAAGATTTTTTTCGAGAACGGTTATAAAATTAATGCTGTATCAGTAGTAAGTGAGCTAATGTCAATAAACTTTTTTAGGACTGGTCGATATAGTGGTTCATTTTTTATTTGATTTTATATATTTATATAACGCGAAATATGGTGAATAAAATGCAGGTCACCTGCAGTAGGTGCATTAATTCTGGCCTGGGCGCGAGGAGAATGTTCTTGGTCTCCACCATTAAATGTGGTAAAATGTTCGCCGGGGAATTCCCAACGACTTCTTGTAGCGTATCATTAGGTTTCTCCTTTCTTTTACTTTTAACGTCCTATCATCGAGCACAATCTAATATAAATATTGGATAAATAAATTAGAAAACTTAAATTATGGGCAAAAGAAGAAACCCAGTGATGCATTTAAACGCAACCAACGCCAATAAAGAGAAGATAGTAAACAAAAATTTTTAGTCGGCTTCCTGCAAGTACTTCTGGACAAAATATTTCTATTGATAGTGACTCGAATAATGTGGCAACTGCAGTGTTGGTTGAGAAGCCTACTGAAGAAGATTCGACAATTATTGCAGTCAGAGATACCTCCGCCGCCGATCATGTGAACGTGCATGATGTTTGCATGGCACACACAAGAGCGGAGGATTTGGAGAAACTACAGACATCTACATTTTTCGAAAACGTGTACGACAAATCTTCTTATGACTTGGGAAACTTCATGAACAAAATATTAAGTGACAACGATAAACGTCAAATTCTTGATATGGAGCCTTTACAGCCGTCAGGACATTTTCCAACAGACATCAACCAGAAAAATAGGTGTTTTTCAAACAAAATCGTACTACGTTTCAAGTTCTAAATATGGACCAGTTAATCGTTTTTGCTTGTGTTATTCCAAAATACTAGACGCTGCCTATTTTCCACCTTGCTGATTATTTGTTTTACATAGGAATAATGTTTGGTATATGGGAATTCGGGATTGGAAGCATTTATCAGAAAGATTTAAATACATTCGTTCGAGTCATACGGAAGCATGTGCTGTGTATGAATCTTGGAAAAATTTTTTTTACTAATACTGTCGACAAGGAACTTGAAAACGAAATTCGCAAAGAAGCCTCATTTCGGAAAATGGTTCTTCAAAGGTTATTAAATATCACATTTACCCTAGCAAAGAGTTCTTTGGATTTGAGAGGACATCGATAAGACTTATTAGACGTGGTAGAGCCATGCTGCAGTTATATTAGTAGTATAGTTGTAGCACGAATGGGCCGGCTCGACCGGAGAAGGACCACGCTCTCACAGAATACCAGCGTAAAATAGTAGCTTAATGATGAAGTGTTTCGTATGGTGAGTTTAGAGAACTGGAGACCATTTTTACGGGAAACGAGGCATTTTATCATAGTCCTCACGGGTGACAAGCATCTGCTGCATATAATAAAAACTTATTTTCATTAGCCCCAGGGCCTTTGGTTACCTACGGTAAGCTAAGCCACTGCTACAATTACTTGCGCATTTGAATCAAATATTCTTCTCATTACTACACTATTATTAAAAATTGTACTTATGAGAGTTGCGCCCGATAATATAGCCTGTGAAATTCAAATTTTATTATGCTTTTTGCAAATTTCAACTCTGCTTTACGTTGTATGTCGATAAGAACGTGTAAGAATTATCACCTCTTTGATTAAATTATTCAATAAATAGTTATGTTTAATTAATTCATGAGATAGTCATATTTAAGTTCATTATGATAATGATCGACGAGTGGTATGTTTTTAATACAATTATTCAGTAAATATATCATCTTTACAGTCGCGTCTGGGTAAGAAAATTTTAATTTCGCGAGCTACCTTGGCACATTCTGGATTGGTCGCTACAACATTGTCACTGTAATAGATAAGCTAATATAATCGGGAGGTGAATGTGATGTTGAATGCTCACCTGTTATAGGTGTGTTCTTAACATCGGTAAGTATTGCATGCTATGTGCGGCAGGACAAGTGACGCTGCGCCGGTGGGATATTATAGAAAATTGATTATAGCTTTATTTAGTTGTAATATTCAATTAAAGTAAATATTACAAAAGTCTGCTAAAAGATAATGTCAAAACTGTACTGCTCATAGAATCGTTCCATTGTATATACCAAGGTACGTGATTTGTCCCTGTTTGTATAAAAATTCTTCAATCGATGACGTTATGAAATTTTCTATATCGAAAGAAAATTATTATGAAAAGATTTCGTTACGTTATGTTATGTAACAACGTTATTGTCAATAATATACTATTAGTGATAAAATTATAAGGCACAGAAGGAAACTGCAAGCGTATTAAGAAGTTATAATTCCCTTAACGAAAAATATTATTTTTACACATAAGATCATTATTTGATCTAAGCTTATGAAGCGGAAAAAGAAACGTTATAATTTCCCCCACTTTCAATAAATAAATCACTCCCCTTACTTTAGTTCATAAGTATCAACTTACGTTTATTATTACAGATTACCTTTATACAGAGTTACTTTTAAGTTCAAATATATAAATAATGATACAACGTTATTGCAGTCTTTGAAAATACGAGTAATAAGGCTTCTACTTTTATTTGAAATTATCCAAAATAGAATTTAAATTATGGGCAACAAATACACGCTCGCACGCTCCTTTGTGTGCGATTCAACTCACAACGTTTTTGCCGACCGAGCGACCCTTAAGCGAATGTGCATAGTAAAATAGCAGGCATTAGATGTTTATGAATGTCAGTCAGTTAAAATAATGCATTACCCGCATTGTGAAAAAAGATAAAAAGGACAGAATGTTAGATTTTTGTTAATTCATTTTTCTTCACCGTTCGCCTATATTACTTATTCTGAACCTTCTCTGTAAATTTGGGTATCTGTATATTGGTGGTCTCTGTATATTGCAAAATAAACCTGTAAATATACTGAAATGTATTATTTACAAGCATCTTAGCCAATCACCGTTCTTTACTTTCGAGTAAAATACAGTTCGAAGCTCTATCTGTGCGTTAAATTTTATATTATACAATACAATTATATCAATAGTTGTGTGTTATAGCTAGAGATAAATAAAAACAACAGACAAAATATCGTGTATGATAAAAACATATTTATTATTTCATCCGCGTCTTTCTTACTAAATGTTGCTTCTCATATTATTTGATCTGTGTTAAAATCAAAAATAGTGATGCCGGGGAATTGAAAGGAATAATTACCATCCTAAGTTACCTCAGTTACCTTAGTTCAGTACCTGACTGAACTTCTTTAAAAAAAAAAGAAAGTAAGAAAGAGTAGACATTCATACGTTTATTATTTTATTTTATTAAAACACTTTTAGCGTTAAAATAAAGAGCTTACTTAAATAAGTTCTTAAATAATATACCGAGTGTATTATAAAGCCGAGTGGCAACGAGAGTAAAGCTTTTATTCCACCTTTTTATTTAATTATTTTATTTACAGCTTGTTACATCTTAACCAAAAGTTTTCAAAGGGCGGACTTTTTGCTTTTAGGCATTATTTCCCAATCAAAACTGGACGTAGTGATATAATGTGATAGATGACCTATGTGTAAATAATTTAAAAAAAAAATAATATAACAATATATTAAACATAAAAATACATAGAGATTTATAACAGAATATTTCTTAAAAATCATATACAATATGTAACGTAATTAACGCACACCCACTGACACCCCAATTAGTATATTATGTTATAATCATAATACATTCACTGAATTTTTAGTTAAACATTTTTATGCACTGATTATTTATCAAATTAGTTATACTAATTCCGGAAGAATGGTGTGGTCACAGTACAAATCCACGAACGCAGACTTTAACGTGTGTGAAATAAAGTTCATTTTTCTTTATTTTTATTGAATGACAGAATTAGTACAATACCAATGAAAATCTGTATTGTTATTTTTGCTTTGAGGAAGATTGAAATAAAGTTCATTTTTCTTTATTTTTATTGAATGACAGAATTAGTAACAATACAAACAAACTGCACTCATAAAAGTCTTATTGCCTTAAATTACGGTCCATTTCAGTTTGTTTTGACTTACAGATTTAGTGTGACTGTAATTTACGTAGTTTTAATTATTTTTGGGATAAAAATTACCTATATAAAAATGATAGGAATCGATTCAGTAAACGATTCTGAACAAATACTTTCTCAAAGTGCGTTAATTATGTTACGTGTTGTATAAGTACCTATATTACAATAAAAGAATAAATAAGTTTTAAATTATAGAATAATCATAAACAATCACATGAACGTAAAAATTTATGTATATTTACACAACGAAATTCAGAACCCCCGGTATAAGGTACAAATTATTCACCTAGAGCTCTCTAAAAAAAAAAAAAAATTAATCTAAAGTAAACAAACTTTCTCTAGGTAGTACCTACGAGCCCGTCTGAGTACTACCACTCTTTTGACTGTTTCTGGAAGGCCATTACTATTCCTATCGCTAAACAGAATATTATTTTATTCTGTTAGCCGGTACATTTACAGGTTGTCAGGCCTTGCATCACTGTCAATTCTCAGGAATTTTATTTGATCTACGTCGTGGTAACTCAGATGTTTAGCGCTCGCTGTAAATTTCACAGTACGCGAGCAGCCCGGGTTAGATCCCCGCCGGCACCGATGAAATTGCCAATTGCAATTTTAAGTGCTGATTACCCACGTGCTCGGTGGTGAAGGAAAACATCTTGAGGAAACCTGCATGTCTGAGAAACTAGAAAAAAATATTTCGAAGACATATGAGGTTCACCAACACGCATTGGGGCAGCGCGGCGGATATTTTTTGCCCTAAAACCCTCCCAGAAATGAGAGGAAGCCTGTGCCCAGCTGTGGGACGTATATAGGCTGTAACTCTAAACCCTAAATCTACGTCACTTTTAATTGATTGATAATGGATTGCAGCTTGTTTGTAATATAAAAGAAAAACATTTTTTGTTAATCATACAAGTATATACTACATAATATACATTGAAATTATATATTTATTGGCGTTAATTTCTAGTGCAAGTTGCACCATTATTATTACATACTATGTTTGTTATTATATTGACACCATTATACTGTAAACATTTTGAAGAATTACCATAAACACATTATATATTTATGAATTGAACGATTGTCAGGAAATTTACTTATAATACTCTTATTAAATATTTTTTATTTGCTTAATATTATTTGATCCCAAGTAACAAAGAACGTCAGGCAAAGTAGGTGAGTTTTCTTTTGTTATCCACGGGATCGTTAATGTTAAAAAGTAATTAATTTTCTACAGTATAATTCTTAGATTCATTGATTTCAAAACTATAGATCTACAAGATTTGTTTCAGGCAGCTCTGATATGTTTAAGTTTGGCGATTTTAATAAAATCTAGGCACAACAATGGTTAATTACTTTAACAAGCCTTTCAAATTTTATACTTAAATACGTATGGTACATGTAATCGTTTTTTTTATACATAACATGAATATATAGCATGAACGACTATAGAAAAAGAAAATATCAAAGAAATAGAATACACACTTTAAGGCCCTTTTCATACGCACGACGTTATAGCACAGCCGCCGAGCCATGCGTGTGAGTTTTCTCACAAATATATAATCAGATAGTCATTGAGGGTTTTTGATGTCGATTACATTCTTTTTGATATTGAGGTATCTATCGTCATGCCGTTTAATTTTGATGTTCGAAATGATAGTTATAAAATGACGTCATCACGAATAAACTATGATTCACTTTCGAGGTTGCTGGAGCTAATTAGTCACCTGTTGTTGCGAAGAGGTGACTGCCACCGTACATTTTCTTTACTTCTGATCTTTCTTCTTTATTTATTCTGTGGCTTACACGTATTATATATATTTTTATGACACCTGGCATCTTGCCGGTGTTAACATGAATGGTTAATGTGAAAAGGGCCTATAAACGGTGATTTATTCGATTTAATATTCTGTCAATGGTAATTAGGTAAATAAAATTCCAGAATAAAATTTTGTGAGCGCATAGTTTTAGATAACATTGAGCAACACCGGCGGACTGGAGTCGCCGGTGTTGCTCTATAATAATAAAATATTAAATAAATAACGTTGCATTCAAATTTCAAAAGATATTAAAAAAAGTTGTAAATTTTTAAATATTTCTAACAACACAAACATAAGTGAGCTAAATTATGTACATACGTTCAATATTTAATAACGAGGCAATGTTGCCGCCGAGTTAACTATATATCTAACTTGGCGGTAACATTTACAAATATAAAATAATTTATTTTATCTTATATCACAGCCCAATAATTAATTTGATTTAAATAAACAGAAGGTACATTTAAATTCGCCTGTCAAACAATTTTTGTTAGAGATAGACTTGTTAGAGACATTATTAAAGTAGAAAGAAATAATCTGTTGGCTTCAGAAGTGCTGGATCCGGCTGTCGTAATACTTGAAGATTCCTGAGAATACGTCGATGGTTTGATTACATCCACTGCAATGCAAATGATTCCATATTAATATTTTAAAGAATAGGGTAATTTATATGGTTAGGTAAATTATATGAGAAATATTTATTTCTGTTTATAAATTTTATATTTCAATTTTAAGAATATTTTTTTCGTCAGTGCCTCAAACCTGCAAAACGCTGTCCGCCATATTAATACTGTCGTGACGTCACTGATCCAGCCTAACAGTATTATGGGTCATAAAAGATAGCTTGATCTCTGTGACAGTTGTCAGTAAAAATCATGCCTATGAAGTCCTGAATTTCTTAGTAGTACAAACAGTATCTGTCAATGTCATACTTTATGAGCATGCCGACCTAATTAGTGCATGTGCAGCCCAGACAGCTGTCGCAGAGATCAAGCTATCTTATGAACTATAGTGTTCTGTGTCACTTTTTTATTTTTATTTATAGTCCGATACCACCGTTTACAGGATAAGCTGAGAAGCATAAACTTATCTGAGGAACGCATTAGCGTGTTCCAGTACTGGTATTCACACCAATCTAACAGCGTACGTTCGGCGGGAGCAGTGTCGGATCCGTATTGGCTCGAATGTGGAGTCAGGCAAGGCGGATTAACATCTCCGACTTTTTAATTTGTATATGAATGATTTGATCATCGCTCTCAGCAGCCAGCGCGTCGGCTGCCATATCGACGGCGTATGTGTTAACAATCTGAGTTACGCTGACATGGTTTTGCTGAGCGCGACGATCTGTGGCTTAGGAAAACTGATACGCATTTGTGAAGAGTATGCGAGTGGACACGGTCTAAATTACAATGTGAAGAAAAGTCAATGCATGGTCTTCAAGGCAGGTACCAAGTGTCCCTAGGATATACCTCCAGTGTTATTAAATAGGGTAACTAGAAGTTGTCAATCAATTTAAGTACCTGGGACACATAATAACTAATGACCTCAAGGACATTGCGGACATTGAGCGGGAGCGGAGAGCGTTGTCCATCAGAGTCAACATGATAGCCCGCAGATTTGCGCGTTGCTCACAGGAGGTAAAAATTACACTATTTAGAGCTTATTGTACATCACTCTATTCGAAGTTACAACGATCTCCGCGTCCTGTACAATAACGCTTTCAGGGTGGTTTTGGGGCTGCCCCGCTTCTGCAGTGCCTCTGGCATGTTTGCGGAGGTGCGCACTGCCTGTTTTCATGCGACCATGCATTGACCATGAGACCATGTAAGCGGTGCGCGTCACTGGTGCGCAGAGTGCGGGCCAGCTCCAATATTATTCTGAAAATGATAGGAGACAAACTGGACTGTCCTATCCTCCGGCATTGCTGCGACACACATGTCCCAGTAATTGTGGGAGTGAGAAGATACTAAATAATAATTATGTGTTAGTTATTATTGTGTTTATATGTTATGTTATGTTATGTTATTGTTGTTTTGTTCATGACATATTATTATTATTTATTATCAATTAGTTAATGTTTTTAAAATCAATCAATTTTAATGATATGGATCATGTCAAAAAAAAAATTGAGTTTCAAATTTTTTTGCATGAAAACCCAATTTTTGTTCTGCTGAGTTGAGGAATGTTAAAAATTAATGTAAGTAACCTACTACTAACTTTTGTTTATACAAAAACAATACCAGGTCAGAGTGTATTTTGATAAAACATTGTTTAGTAGCCATCATAGCTTAGTTCATCTATGATTACAATGATTAGCAATCATTAGTTATAATATCCAAGTTAACGTAATTTGTTATAAAATTTGACTTATATATATATATATATACAACGTGTCCCAAAATTCAACGATAAGCCAACACCGGAGGATACACCTGCCCCGAACTAATCGGGGAAAAAAAGAAAAAAAAATATACCCCAATTATATTTTAAGTTATAGTTTAAAAAAATGAAATTCTTCAGAAATTGAGACCGTTTATGATATTTTTTACTACCATGACCACAATTTTTTTAATATTTTTTTTTATAGGCAACCTGAATAGTACTGCTATCCACCACAATTCTTAAAAACTCCAGAATAACTCTTGTTTTATCATGAAAATTAATGAAACTTATTTTATTCCCTAAATTTTTTGAAGACTTTTACTTTTAACCAAATTTAACTTATCGTGGTGTAAAAAAAAGTATGAACCTAGTATGGCAAGTTTTTTAAAAATCGACGCAACTAACCAACATTCCAAAATGGTATAATACTCTAGGAAAACAAGTTATAAAAAAATATGGGCCTATTATTTCTTAACGGGGGCCAAATGACGGTCGGGTGTAATAAAAGTATTAGTTCTTGAAAAATGTTTAATATTTCAAAACAAATGGTACAAACAGTTTCACGTGTAATTTATTATGTTATTAACATTATAGCAAATGTTCGAACTGTTTGCCACCAGCATTAATACATGCACGACATCGCCTTAAAAATGGTCGTTTTATTTGTCTTGCATATCTTCTGCTATTAATGTAATCAGCAGCCTGAGTGATATTTCGACGAAGCTCGTCCATGTCGCAATGGGTTTTGAGTAGACCCTGTTTTTAAGACAACCCCAATAGAAGAAGTCCAGGGGGTTCAAATCGGGTGAACGGGGTGGCCATAAGATAGGACCAAGTCGCCCGATCCAACGCCCTGGATACTCTTGATTTAAATATTCTCGCACAGGACGGGCATAATGTGCTGGGCAACTATCATTTTGGAACCACATGTTTTGAAGATCACTAAGGGCAGTGTCAATTTTGGTCATTTTGTAAAAAGTTTAAATAACTATTGCCACCTAAGTTTCCTTGTAACTCAAAGGGCCCAATTACTTTTCCATTTAATATGCCGGTCCATAGGTTAACCTTGAATTGATATTGGGATTTGTCTTGTCTCAATAAGTGTGGATTTACATTACTCCAACTATGTAGGTTGTGAAGATTTAAATACCCATCTTTCTTGCACGTTGTTTCATCCGACCATAGAATTTTGTCCAGGAAGTGGGGATCTTCACTGTGCCTTTGCAGCATTACACGGCAAAATGTGACTCGTAGCGGATAGTCCCGCGGTAATAACGTCTGCACACGCCTGTAGTGATATGGGTGAAGCTTGTGACGTTTTAATATTCGATGTGCAGAACTTTTCGGGATTCCTGTAGCTTCTTCTATGGCACGTACCGAAGTAGTCGAGTCATTTTCTATCTCATTGAGAACTTCTTCATCACGATCCAATCTAGGTCTTCCAGCGCTTCTCCTATTGGATGGCATACGACCCTCCGAAAACGCTTGATGCACATTAATAAACACTCGATAATCAGGATATTTTTGAGCATTTGGGTATCTTTCTCGATACAGTCTGCTAGCAGCGTTAGCATTACATCGCCATTCTCCATATATTAAATGCATATTAGCGTATTCCTGTGGTATGTACGGTTGCGGCATGTTAAACGCCAAATAGTCCAAAATGCGCCAGAACTCTAAATCACAAAACACACAATCGTTGTCCAAGATAATGCCAGGTCAGTTCAGTTTGCAGATCTTTTCCAGTCCATATAATGCCAGGTCAGTTAAGTTTGCAGGACGATTCCAGTCCAAAAAGCCAAGCCAAAAGTCGATAGTATGTACGAGAGCCACGTAAGTTGAATTGGGAATAGTGCGCAGTAAACAAAGGAGCAGAGTGTACTGAACTGACTTGCTGAGAATAATAACAGCTTGTTTACCTGCCCTGTTGTGTCTCTTTTTAACGTAAATATCTCTATCTATCTATCTCTCTCTAACATCTAAGGTATTAATGCCCCATTCAAATTCCTAGAAATTGTAACAGGAACCCATTTTGGGCATGTAGTAAAAGTGATTACTGACAATTACAATTTAAGGAATTTGGCCCCTGTTTAGAAATAATAGGCCCATATTTTTTTATAACTTGTTTTCCTAGAGTATTATACCATTTTGGAATGTTGGTTAGTTGCGTCAATTTTTAAAAAAACTTGCCATACTAGCGTTCATACCTTTTTTTACACCACGATAAGTTAAATTTGGTTAAAAGTAAAAGTCTTCAAAAAATTTAGGGAATAAAATAAGTTTCATTAATTTTCGTGATAAAACAAGAGTTATTCTGGAGTTTTTAAGAATTGTGGTAGATAGCAGTACTATTCAGGTTGCCTATAAAAAAAAAAGAAAAAAATATTAAAAAAATTGTGGTCATGGTAGTGAAAAATATCATAAACGGTCTCAATTTCTGAAGAATTTCATTTTTTTTATATAACTTAAAATATAATTGGGATATATATTTTTTCTTTTTTTCCCCGATTAGTCCGGGGCAGGTCTATCCTCCAGTGTTGGCTTATCGTTCAATTTTGGGACACGTTTTATATATACTACGCGATACTGTTCACCTCATGATGTTTTGTTTTGTTTAAACGATAGTTAAATATAAGTCATACTTACATCAAAATGATCTTCACAGAGTAATAGTCTGGTATTTGTAAACAATGTACTCGGGTATCTTCTTGCCAGTTTTAACCAAGTGTTTCTTATTTAAATACTTGGCACTTGAATCTTAACTATAAATCATAACTTTCCTGGCTCTTATACGCGTATTTTCGCATTCAGGCACAACACAACAATGATTTAGATGATAACTCATTATTAAACTTTACAAAGTATCTTATTCCTTTGCGAAATCAGCAAAATCGAGGACAGTGACGTCACGAGTTGAACAGCACGACGGCTAGCGTTTTCACGAGAAAATTTAAAACGATAGATTAAAAGTAATATTTATGGCACTATTCAGTTTCAAAAAAAATATAAAAAATATAGCGGTTCATTACTCTAGGATTCATATAAATAATTTTGGAAAATGGGTGGGATATTTTAAAAAACGCTAAACAGGTCTTCAGCAATGAAAACAAATTATTCTTTTCCTTAACATATATTTGCCTCTGTGTTAACTTACCAATGACTGTGTCATTTCTAACATCAGCAAATTTATCTTCTATGTTTCTAAACTCTGGTATTGTGCTGACGCATGTCACCTCTAGTCTACCCGTAGCCAACAGCTGTATTTCAGATACAGAGATGTACAGATCTCCACCACGACTTGGTTTCCGACCTCTGTGACGACTGCTAGTTCGTATAATGTTGAGCTCTTCTTGTTCTTTTAGATATTCGATCTGGAAATGAATTATATATATATTTTAAAGGACGATGGTGAAAAAATATTAAATGGAATTATTAAACGTTTACTTATTTACCCACATTTTAAAAAAAACTATTAGCGGCTTCAATCTTCCTTGGGTTTATAAAAATAAACCCATATAACTATTGAAATTTGGTTTTTCATGTCGTTACCAATACAGATATCAAAAAAATACTGTGTTTTATCTAATCAAGCTTATGGCCTATTGAAGTCTGGAAAATATCATCACATCTAATTTAAAACTAAATTGATATAGCGAATCGGAGCAACTACAACATCAATGATGTAGTTGCTCCAATTCGCTAATTAAAGCAGGCAAATGTCTTGTACCATACAACCTAGTCAGATGTGCATTTTATTAACAAAACTTTTCTCAACATACTAATGCATTATTTTAGGATTCCCTCTATGCTAGTAATTACACTATATAAGCATAATAGAAAATTATATCGACTAGGTGTTCTTGTTGTAACCATTAGCCAATTAAGGCAGGCAAACTTAGGTATACCACATATACCAGTCTGGTGTGATTTTGTTCAAACTGGAATATCTTTAATTCTTGACTTCCTGCAGTAGTATGACTGAAGAAAAGATTGTTAAGGATTTCAAACTCTTACATACCTATTTTCATTTTTGTCGACGCAAGAAAAAATGTTAACAATAAATTGTGTGGGAGTTCGCCATTGTGCTGTATAGATTAAATGACAAAGAGTCGCAGTAGACAAGTGACCCACATAGTACGCGAGCAACCCGAGTTCGATGCCCGCCGAAACCAATAGTATTGTTAATATCACTTAGAACTTTTGGGTGGGCTATAGATAACCGGTACCCGATTTTAACTATTTTTTCAGTTTAGGAGGCTTTTCAAGCTTGAACCTTTTACATTGCTTTTGGATTTTGGGAATGCGTTTTGAATTGATTACGATAAAAACAAATTTCACAAAAAACATTTTTGTAATTTTGTAATATAAAAAAATTGCTTATAACGAAACGCAAGTATGGCAATTTGTTGTCGTATTATGAGGTAGACGTCCGGTACTTGATTTTTTAATTTTGTTCCCTATTTAGGACGTTTGTCAGGGTTAAGCTCGAACCTTTTACACTGTTTTTGGATTTTGGAAATGCCTTTTGAATTAATTACAATAAAAATAAATTTCACTAAAATTGCATATAACGAAACGCAAATATGTCAATTTTTTTAACACAGATACATCCATAAAAAAGTTAATCACTTGGAATCCATTTGGGACACATATATTATAACAAATTGAGTCGCAGTAGAGATAGGTCAAGAGGTTTTTTAGAAAACAAAATTATAACAATTCACATTACATTATTTCATTTACTACTGGTCTTTACAATGGTAAAGGTCTTTACAATGGCAGACCAGTGGGACTGGAATTTAAAATTGGTCGAATCGGTTCTAAAACCGAATTATGTAGCTCGCCCCGACTTCACGTTGTTTTGTCTGCCCTACCCCTAGAGTGTTTTCGTAAAGCCGTAGGCGCGGAGGGAGAGTAGTCCCCGACCGCTGTAGCAAATCGCAGCCCGCCGAGCGAGCCGTAACGGCTGACCGAAGGCTACTAATTAGCCGAAGCTGCGGAGGCGAGCATAGGTGCCTGTGGTTTGCTACGCAAGGGCGAAGGGCTGCACTTTCCGGAGTGCCGAAGCCGTTGCAGAAGTAACTTTGTGTCAATATTCCTGTGTAAAAAAGTGAGGTTATGATTTTACAAAAAAAAATTATTACTCCATAAACTATACATTTTCGCAAACGGGGAAGGGTAGGGGGAGCTTCCCCTGAAAGTTCTCCCTTCCTCCTCCCACTCCCACCACCGTACGCGAGTACCGGATGTCTATAGTTTGACCGAACATTTAATTTACCACCTACTCGATGATGAAAAAAACATTCATTGAAAGTTTTGAATATAAATGTAAATAAAATAATATAAAAAATTCTGTCTACATGCAGTAGAGCAGCGGGATATATTCTTTCGTGCAAAACAATCATGTGAAGAAGCCCAACAGTGAGAAATATTTGTGCGCTTACTTTTCTTTTTAATTGAAGGAGAATATCTCACTTTAGCATCGCATCTTAGCAGACAGGCGCTTAACAAAAAACCGTACAAACTAAATCTTCGAGGCGCATCCTTGCTCTACATTTACGTAGTAACAATATTTAATTTATGTCTATATCATAACATTTTTATGTTTAATATATAAAAAAATACATCATAAGAATTTACATTGTGACGTCATAGTTCAATGTACTTGCCTATGAGAAAAGACATATATAAAGAAATGAAAACACAATCCGCCTTTTATATCACAGTAAACGGCTAAAAATATGGTAGTTGTTATGCAGTTTGAAAGTAGCTGTAATATGTTAACAACCTGTTGATCCCAAATTGTCTTGACTAAGATTTTGATATTAAATTAGTCAAAACATGTTATGAAGTGTAACGTTGCAGAAGAAGCTGACTCCACTGTATAATTATTATTGCTGGTCAAACCAAGGCGTCATCCTTTTAGTAAACATACTTGTTTTGACCACCCTATAATAGCCGTTGCATTTGGAATATTCATTATAGCCCTCATCGTAGTAATATTATCACCTAGTTAAGGAATTCATGTTATATCGTACTGAATTAGTTTTAATTTGTTATTGTAATGAAATGAAACAAATATGTCTCCACGACATTTGCAGTAAATACATATTTGTTGTTTTTAAAAAGCTTCAGCGCCGTTCCCGAAACTTAATCAAGTAAGGTATCCGCTTTAAACCTAAGTAATACTGTGAAAAAGTAAAATTACAGACACTCTCATTCTACTGCTAGGCACTCATCTCCACTCATTCAAGTTTTAGGGAACGGAAATGTCCGTCGTGTTGCCTCTATGTGTTTTGATGGACTTAACATGTTCATTTTTTATTAATTTCTCAGACATGCATATTTGCTCACGGTGTCTTCCTTCATCGTAGAGCACCTGGAAAAACAGCACGTAAAATTGCAATCAAGAATTTTATTGGTGTTGTTGGACTGGAACTGGGTTGCTCAAGTACTTACTGTGAAATATACAGCGTGCACTTAACCCCCGAGTTACTGTGGCTCTTATGTTACACTTTAACTTACGTTGGGATTTATACGTTATGTGTATTCTGATTAGGCTTACTGCCCAGCTCCTATAGTAAATAGCATAATCATATAAATTTAGTCTAACGATTTGACCTCTACGTATAACTGTAGTGACAGTTCTATCGAAATCCGTTCGTAGGTTTTTGTGGGATGTGTACGGACAGATAGGCAGACAGACTGACAACGAATTCACCATTTACATACGTGAATTGAACAAGGACAAACATCCAGACCCGGAACAATTGCTTGTAGCAGTGGCGAAGCTAGGGCTCCAAACTAAGGCAAGCCCAAGATATGGTTTTGTTGTTTTTAGCAGTTCTATAAAAATACACCAATCTTGATCTGTAACTCCTCAGTTTCATATTCAGTGCTGTCGAGGACGTGTTTAACAAAGCACATAGAAGGCATACTTCTGCAAGATAGATTGTATGGCATATCAGTTATACTTTCGGTGGCTTTGAAAAAAGTCGTTTGGGTTTGCTTGAGCGAAAGAAAAAGATATTTACATACAATATAATACATGAACAAAATAAAAGCATGAACAAAGTACAAACCAACTATGTACAAAATTAAAAAAAAATGATTTATATTCTAAATCGAATCGTCTCTCTTTCTTAAGGAAAGATTTGATTACGTCCGCGTTAAACGTTGGTGAACGTTTTAATTGCACCAATAACTGTTTTTCAAATGTGATAATTGATAAGTCTGAAAGACGCTCTTGACCTTGCGTATTTTCTCAACATAGTTTAAAGATTTTACCTTTTCCTCGCCGATTAGCACTTTAACATACTTCAATTCATTACAAAGAACACTATTATCCTCCATTTTCACTAAAAATCTTTAAAATAGCATAAATTTTCAACTCGCAATATTCATTCACTCAAGTAAACAAACAGTAAACATTGAAATGTGAAGTGGACATGCAAACGTATCATCCGCGCGCCCCTGCGCTCGACTAACTTCGTAGCGAAAGCCTGGGCCTCTATACTAATCGCTATATAAACAATCGTAGTTATATTTCATTATAGAACATTTTGCCACCGGTTAGAAAAGGAGCGATCATCTTCTCGAAAGGCCACGAGACGACTAATCGCTAAATTTAACTCCTTTTTTATAACACCAGTATCGCTAAGGCTACGAGGTCATCACCTGTGTAGAACAAAGGAGCGTGCGGGAAATTTGAAATAGTTTACGAGTTGTTTTATTAGTTGATATTATTGACTGAGCAGTTTGATAGGTCAAGCCCGGCTTCTAAGCTTCTATGAAAGCTTCACCACTGACTTGTGGGTCGTAAAAATACATGTTCCGTGCGGAAAACGAGTCTGCACACTTTAGCGCCGTAACTCGTTTTATATTTTTGTTGTGACGCTAAAATACATTTACCTGGTTTTCTTTTAAGCTGCACCCAGGTGCTTTCGTAGCGATGTGTGAAATATGTGTTAAAGCGAGGACTGGTGGTGGAATGCTTCCTTTTTCGTACTCAAAAGGCTTTTGAAGTCCTCTTCTGCTGCTTCTCTCATTGAATGGAACGCGATACTTATGAGAATGTACGACTAGTTCATCCATCTGCAAAATCAATCATTTGAATAATACATCTTAATTTATGCAGAAAAAATATTTTCAACTATTCTGATTAGACGCGAATACACAATAAATAAAACTAATTTTACGGATTTTATTTTAATTTATTCCCATCATCATCCTTGGCAAAGGAGTGGAACCGGTCGTGAGATTCATTGACATGATCTTTTTTTTTATTATTAAACTAGGCTCACTCTCGATCTCCATCTGGCCCGAGGGCAAAGATGAGGTCTACGCGAGTTTGCCCAGAAGAAGCCTGTTAACACGCACCATGAAGAGGTTAAGGTTATATGCACTCGGAAAACATCGTCGGAACTCCTCCACCGCCTGGGTGGACTACATTAAGTCATTTATTTCGGTGCCTCGGTAATTCGGTACTTGTTGCGGAAACATAGTGAGCGTGGATTTTTTAGTACCCCCACTATGCATAACTGCGATGTGTGCACTGTGCCGTCTCCGTAAACACTTGTTGATGAGTTCTGATGACTCATTCTACACAGCTTTCGAAACTCCCTTCCTATGGGCTTCCCGAGAAATTGTGCGATTGGATCACCAGCTTTCTTGCAGATCGGCGCATCAAGCTCGTTGTAGACGGTGTAAGCTCCGATTGCAGGCCTATTAATGCTGGTGTTCCACAAGGCTGCGTGCTATTGCCAACGCTGTTTATTCTGGATATCAATGTTATGTTGCAAACCCGTAACATTCATTGCTATGCAGATGACAGCTCTGGTGATGATTTTTACACCGGCCGTGCCAATATTTCTCGGGAAAACGTCTCCGAGTGCCGGGACAAACTTGTGTCTGAAGTCGAGTCCTTGCTGAACAGAGTCTCGGATTGGGGGCGACTAAATCTAGTCCAGTTTAACCTCCAGAAGACACAAGTTTGCGCGTTAACCGCTAAAAAGAACCCCTTTGTCGTATCTCCTCAGTTTCAAGGCACTCCCCTTGTTGCCTCAGCCAGTATCGGAATCCTCGGCGTTGACATATCGAGTGACGTGCAGTTTCGTGGTCACTTGGAAGAGAAGGCCAAATTGGCCTCTAAAAAGCTTGGCGTGCTCAGCAGAGCGGGACAGTATTTCGTGCCGGCACACCGCCTGCAACTTTACAAGGCGCAGGTTCGGCCGCACATGGAATACTGTTCCCATCTCTGGGCTGGGGATCCCCAGTACCAGCTCCTTCCACTTGACCGCATCCAGCGCACAGCGGCTCGAATCGTCGACGACCGAGTGCTTTCCGATCGGCTCGATTCACTGGCACTGCGAAGAGATGTTGCATCTCTTTGCATTTTATTTCGCATATACCATGGAGAGTGCTCTGAGGAATTTTTCGGATTAATCCCAGCCGCCAAATTTCGTGAACGCACTACGCGGCAAACGTCCCGATACCATCCACACTATCTGGATGCTTGGCGGTCACCACACTACGTTTCAAAAGGAGTTTTCTTCCGCGTACAATATCTCTGTGGAATAGTTTATCACCGGCGATTTTTCCGGACCGATACGACCTGGGGACCTTCAAGCAAAGAGCTTACTCCTTTCTAAAGGGCCGGCAACGCAACTTGCAATTCCCCTGGTGTTGCGGTTGATCATGGTCGGCGGTAGTCACTTAACATCAGGTGAGCCGCATGCTCGTTTGCCCCTCTTCTATAAAAAAAAACAGAAGTTATTATATGTGATAAAGGACTTGCCCCCTCTACCCTTAGTCAACAAGCAATGGCAGCAGTATTAGATCATTTCTGAACGGGGGACCATATGGAGGGAGAAGGAGTTCCACGAGAGGTTTTACAAGGCAGTACATTATATTTTTGCAGACATAATAGCCTCCCTTTGCTGACTATGTGTTGGTGACTTCTTTGGGAAAGTCGAGGAATTTGTCTGTGCGATACGGGATCAGGTTATTAAGACCAACAATTATTAGAGATGTATCATTGAGGATGTCATGTCGACATTTGTCGAACTTGTCCATAGCGGTGACAAGAGGGGTATAGGTATGTTATTTCTTTTATAAGTTTAGTGACAAGGATCATACACCAACAGCTCGCTCAAAAATGCGGTCTCGTGAATCTAAAACTGCCTTATTTTAGGTACTTGCCGGAAGTGGTGCTCGTAAATTATAACCGCGCCGGGCTCTATTGAAACCGGGCCATCATCACAGACAGGACTATTCTTGCTAATAAGCCTTGTATTATGGACCGCACTCAGTCAAGAAATATAAATATTTTTGAATTACATTAACATTCCGTATGGCAAGTGAAAGCCGAAACAGATAAGAAAACAAAATATCTGGACTTAGTTCACGAGGTGATTTATTTATTTATATTTTATTGTATATCTCCAATTGAGTATATATTTTATTCTACCATAGTTATGTTTGTAGTATTAAATTGTAATAAGTATATTTCATAATAATAATAAGCACTTATGCATCCCAAGTAAACGAGAAAACAACATAAATATCCCTATAATAATATAGTTACAGGAAGATGGACTTAGTCCTTAGAGGTGACAACGCATTTGAACCCTTTTTTGTTTGAAGTTGTCTACATGCGTCCATGAAGTACAGTAGCAACTTGTTATCAGGTTGTTATTATGAGTTCATTTGTCATTTTTTATAAAAATAAATAAATAAATAATGAATCTTCGTATACTTTATCGCATGCAAAGCTCTACAGGCAGACATGGATATCTCTCGCTGTAGGGAATAATTTATTAAAATCGTTACACTTTTGCGATCATTAATCGATTGACGATCGCAGAGAAAGAGGTTTCACATCTTTGACGTTGCTTTCCATCGGCACGGCAGTCTGGATATTTTACGTGTTGCGTAAACGACATGGTTACATCGCCATGTATCGGAAGCCATAAGCATGTTTTGACATATACAATAGTCTCTTCTTACAACACCCGTAAGACTAAATATTCATAAAGGCGTCTAATGGATAAAAGGAATCCTTCGCCTTGATTGGTATCACCCACAGGTATAGAATGCATTTTCCTTGTACAATTTAAGTCTTTAAAATACCTCTGCCACACTAGTGAAACTCCTGGTACATAATGTGATTAACATTAGGTATAATAAAAACACGTTCTTTCTTTCATATAGCATGTTCATATAGGACTGAGACGTCAATATTAGGTATTTTTTTAATGAAATAAGTTAACGTAATTTTTATTCTATAATTTTTATTTCTATTAATCAAAGTAATCACCTATGCAATTGATGCGTCTTTTCCAACGCAGTGGCAGTTTATTGATGCCCTTCTTGAAGAAATCAGCTGGACGGGATGCAACAAATTTGTCAAAGGCATTTTATACTGTGTGAAAGCTTCCAACTCCAGCTCCTATAATTTGGATACCGTTTGTTGTGTGGTCGTATGAGGTCGCGCGTTGTTACTTGTTACGCAGAAACAGCGGGGACGAGTGATTGACCAAAGTTGGTTGGAGACATACGAGCTTCTCAGTCATTGTATTGAGGTCTTCACAGTACACATCTGCAGTAATGCTCATCCCGTTTGGTAAGAAGCTGTGATGAATCACACTTGCGCTGGGCCACCAAGCAGTGACCATCAATTTTCTAGGGGTAAGTTTTCGTTTAGGGTATTGTTTAGGTGCGAAACTGATCCAACCAACTTGCTGAGCCATTGCGACTGTCAAAGAGTGCCAAAGTGTGTCAAAGAGAGCAGTGCAAGGCACTTCTCGACGCGTACTTCGCGCTGGCGAACATTGTGTTCGTGGGACACCCATTTGTCAAGCTTTTTTACCTTGCCAATTTGATGCAAATAGACCAAAATTGTTTTGATACTATCGTCGAAAGCTGTTGCTAATTCAGCCGTAGATGGAGTATCATCAGCTTTCATAATCGCCTTTAATTCATCATTGTCGACGAAAGTTTTCGGACGACCACGGTGTTTTTCAGGTCGAAATCTCCAGGATGGAAGCGGGCACAGGTGGTGCGTTCGTGTATAGTATTCGCTCCGTTAACATTGCAGCTGTTGCGTGCCACTTGTACCGCGTTGCTGCGACGACGGTACTCTTATTCCATAATTACTCGAATTTTTAACGTATCCATAACGACCAAAAATATTCAATTGCAATTAAAACATAACGGTTATCATATGACTAATCTAATAAATAAACATTCAGATATTATGTACTACGTGCTAGAGGCGAAACTGCATTTAGTTACGCTGTACCATTCAACTGCGGCGTTAGAGCTGCAAAGTGCAGCTCAAACTCAGTTTCTCGCTAGCACAGAACATAGATATACCCCAAAAGGGTGTCGCTAGGCGCTACTAAGTTGACACGTGTTGATTAATTATATTAAAAACAATTCTCGATAAAATATGCTTCGGTGTGTTTTTAGATATTGCATAAATAATTCAAGTAATGTTAGCAAACACCAAGGAATAACTTTTTGTCGGTTAATAAGATACTTAATTAATAAAAAAAGTACTATAGACATTGAAGTAATATGTACCTACATTTACGTACTAGAACAGCTATCTCAAACAAAAAATGTGCGCTACTCTGTGTTCGCGCGAATGGTTTTTTTATCATAGAATATAATAGGTAGAATTATCCGTAGGTAATAATAGATTAATAATATAAAAATAATAGTAGATTGTATTGTTAAATAGGTAAATTATATCTAGAACAATATTTAAATTTTGTCATTTATTTTATATATTACATTTGCTTATTAAATATAATATTACATAATATTATATCACAATTACATTTTAATGCTATTTTTATCTGAATATTTTAAAAGGTATCTATGTCAAATATAAAAAAAAACATACTAAATGTATGTTTAACAAAACTTATTAACATAACATTTAAATTACAAATATATTTATTTAAATTAGAATAAGAGTCGTTCATAAATGCTGGGCAAGCGAGAGTTAAAAATGGACGAATTATTTCCACTTTGACTTTGAAGTGGAAACCTAAAAATAAAATGAAAGAATAATAAGCAGATTTAAATATGAAAAATTTAGCCTAATTATAATAACTTATATAGGTTTCTACAAAAAAATGTGTATAACAATATATTCGTCCTATACTTAAGTACCCACAGAAATGTCGCATCTGAACATATTAATTTCATAATCTATATTCCATGACACGAGATGGCGTCTTAGGAATAATTTGTTTTATTATTAATTTATAATACATTTTATTGATTAAGTATCATATTAATAGATGAAAAGTAATTCCTTGGTTTTTACTGTCATTTCTTGAATTATTTGTGCAATATCTAAGTATACACGACGGCATATTTTTATCAAGAGTTTTTTTTTTAAATCAACACAACACATGACAACTCTACAAGCGCCTAGCGAGTGACTGATTAAAGTGCGGTGTATGCACCGCAGTTTAGTGGAACAGAATAGCCGAATGCAGGGTCGCCTCTAGTACGTAGTACATAATAACTCGATGATTATAGATTAATAATAAAACAAATTGTTCCTAAGACGCCTTCTAATGTCATGGAATATAGATTATAAAAATTAAGTTGTTCAAATATATATATATATATATATATATATATATATATATATATATATATATATATATATATATATATATATATATCATAAATGAAAAAAATTAAAAATTGTACTCGATATAATTTATATATTTAACAATGCAATTATATTATTACCTACTGATCATTCTACCTATGTTTATTCTATGATAAAAAACCAACCGCGCGAACACGGAGTAGCGCGTATTTTTTTTGTTTGAAATAGCTAATTTTGAAAAAAGAATACCATGATTTTAAAATAAAATTAATTTGAAATTAGAATTCTTAGTTAAACAAAAATTATTTTGATTTAAAATACTGCAGAACGGCATTGTCATAGGTAAAGGCCTATTTATAATCGTACACTGTATGTTTTTTTATGTTATGGAAACTGTAAAATACCACAATAATAAATATTTTTTTACCTTTCTGCCATTAATAATCAAAGCCAATGTGGAATAAATTCGTCCATTTTTAACTCTCGCGTGCCCAGCATTTATGAACGACTCTTATTCTAATTTAAATAAATATATTTGTAATTTAAATGTTATATTACTAAGTTTTTTTCATAAATTTAGTATTTTTTTATATTTGTCATAGTTATATTTTAAAATATTCAGATAAAATATTATTAAAATGTTATTGTGATATAATATTATGTTATATTATATTAAATAAGCAAATATAATATATATAATAAATGAAAAAAATTAAAAATTGTACTCGATATAATTTACCTATTTAACAATACAATCTATTATTACCTACTGATCATTCTACCTATGTTTATTCTATGATAAAAACCAACCGCGCGAACATGGAGTAGCGCATATTTTTTTGTTTGAAATAGCTGTTCTAGTACGTAAAGGTACATATTACTTCAATGTAAATAAATGAATAATTTTGAAAAAAGAATACCATGTTTTTAAAATACAATTAATTTGAAATTAGAATTCTTAGTTAAACAAAAATTACTTTTATTTAAAATACTGCAGAACGGCATTGTCATAGGTAAAGGCCTATTTATAATCGTACACTGTATGTTTTTTATGTTATGGAAACTGTAAAATACAACAATAATAAATATTTTTTTACCTTTCTGCCATTAATAAACCATGTGATGTGGGGTGCAGGGAGAGCCGGTGCGGTGGTGCAATTGGCACGTAAGGTTTCGCCGAAACTGAGATACCTTGTTGGGAAGTCGATGCGAGGATGATGTTTTTGAGGATCTAGAAAAGTTTGTTTTATTATATACAATCCGCAAAACTTTCGACTTTTTACCATAATTATGCTCAATTAAATTGTATATTCTCTGTTAACTTTTTGATGTTCTATTATATTTTAAGATAGTTAATAATAAAATGAAAAATATTTCTTCCTAAATCTACTTACAACTTGATAACAAGATAATAAAAAGATGTCCAAGTGGATTTTAGGTAATATAACTTATAACACTGACGCAAAATACAATTTTAATCGTAATGTATTCTAGAATAGGAACTCCTCAATATTCTATAGAGTACATTCCAGAGAATGTGCGCAGGAATTACATGATACAATTCCTCCCACCCCTTTCCACCACCTCGGTTTGCTTCGTCATTCATAATGCGTACAGTGAGGGAGTGGAATACTTTGCTCGCATCTGTGACAGCTCGTAACAATGTGTGTCATTAAGATAAGAACGAATAGACTTTTCTAGATTCTAGATTTACCATCTAATGAAACCTTCACTAACCACCATGTGGGATTATAGCCAAGTACCGGTTATAACCGGTAAAAAATGTTGCGGTTTTATTAAGGATAAGAGTCTTATAAAAACTTCTTAATCGATTTCAAAGGAGAGGTTTAATTTAAAGTAAAGTTACGGCCTTTATACATCCTACTGCTGGGCACAGGCCTCCTCTCATATCTGAGAGGGTTTAAGGGCAAGGAAATATCCGCAGCGTTACCCCAGCGCGTGTTAGCGAACTTCAAATGTCTTTGAAATATTTTTTTTCTTATTTCTCAGCCATGCAGGTTTCTTCACGATGTTTATCTTAACCGTGGTAAATCAGCACTTGAACGATCGAACCCGGGTTGCTCGCGTACTATGAAATTTACAGCGAGCGCTAAGCCCCTGAGCTACCTTGAGCAACCACGTCATTAATTTGACTACACTTAGATTTGTTATTTAAAAGAAGTTTTTAGTTTTACTGTACTTAACTTTATAAAGTTGTAGTGACACTGTCCATGTAATAGTAAGTGGTTACTGCAACCCAGGTACATCCGCAGCCAACTTGATATAAAGGTGGCTACAGAAGCTTCGTCATCTATGACGACTAAGCTGTACTAATACTGGCTCTCCATACCTTTCAGAACAGAGTAGTGCGAGCAATGCTATTTGGCTGCAGAGATAGGAAATAAGGTGGCCGCTTCATAGAATACCCCTGGTATTGCAGTTGTTCATGGGCGGCGGTAGTCACTAACCATCAGGTTGGCCGCATGCTCGTTTGCCCCTCTTCTATTAAAAAAAAACAACTAGAATTTCATCTAAATAGTTACTTAAATATCATCACCTATTTTCTCTAAATTTATATGGGACCATCCCAAAAGTATAACAGCCTCTTAGAGTATCTTATCAATACTATAAGAATAGCCTAAGTACTTTTGCCCCGTTATGTTAGATTGATATAGCAAACTAAGATTTATCTCACAACATTTGAAAATATTGTTTTGTTGTGACATCTTCATCAGAACTTTAGAGTCCTACACGTTAAAAGGCTCTTATCTTTTTAGATTTTGACCATTATGATATAATTTTAAAGATGTATAAACGCTTTTGTATAACGTGAGGTGTTTTCTTGATATAATATAACATAAATGTTTTCTGGATTATGATTTACGGCGGTCGTATTCGACTATTAATAATTTAAAACGGTTGTATTATATTACCCTTTTATAACTTATAATGCGATCATTTTAAAAATACCATTAGGGTATTATTTTTGCATTCACTAATTAACAGTAATTTATTTCATATATTTCTAACGATAATCACCATTACAACTACTCTGGAATGCGCTGCCCTTGGTAATAATTGAAACAACTGGTTTTTTAAAACAAAAGTAACAGACTTATTTAGGTTCATCTGACAAATAAATATATAAATTTATAAAAGTAAATAAAAAAATATAATATAATCTATCCCCAACAATTGAAAACAATAAGTGGCCCCAAATAAAGTTACAAGCAAGAACCTACCGCTGCTATTTTCACCAACAAATGGCTAAAACCGTGACCTATATTTTCTTCCCTTCTAAAGAGGTTTTACAGACACGTCACCGATGTTAGTTTGACGAAATAATAATGTTAAATTTGTATTATTTTCGCAGTTTGTTATACTTATGCAGTCACAATAGTAAAAATAGAAATTTAAGTAAGAGGTCATTTTTGTCTGAATACTTCGCAGAAGTCTTGCTGACCTCTTAATTAGGATAGAAAGGTAGCTACAGATGCTTCGTCATCCACGAGGTCTAAGATGGAATACCTCACATGCCTCACAGCCTGTAGTGATACCGGCTCTCTACCTTTCAGACCAGAACAGAACGGTGCAAGCACTACTATTTGGCTCGGGAAATAGGAAATAAGGCAGGCCCTCCATAAATTACCTCATTTTGCCACAGTTGCCACGCTTGGTAGGTGGGTTGTCAGCCGCAGTTTTTGTACATGGAGGAAATGCCTACACATAGGCACTTGCCTCGCAGGGTAAGGACGGGTTGTCTGACTCGTACCCACTACAACCCCATGGTGTTACACATTCGCCGCATATTGGCAAGGCCAAGGGAACGCTTTCACACATGCGGCCTCATGGGGAGTCGTTCTGCCTCTCTCTTCTTTATTCTTCTTCCATTTCAGTTTTCCTCTGTCGCCTCTTATAACACACACGGGATGATGGAGTGGTGGCAATTTTTACGCCACCACTACGCTGTTTGTTTATTTTAAAATAAAAACCGCGTAGTAGAGGGTTGGCTATTTATTGAAATTGAATGGTATTTTTTGCCAACAAATACGCAAAACGTTAAACGTTTAGAATCCTAATAATGGTGAAACTTCTCAAACAGTCTAAAAGTAAAAAGGAAAACATAAATTACGAGAAGTCCGAAAAACATAAATCCTAGGCTATACAGACAAATTTTACAACTTCGTACCGAATTTCTTACAAAGATAACGTTGAACATTAATCAGGCTAATAAACCATAACGAGAATAATGATACAAATCTTAATATCCTATACCTTTAAACGAGCAATTCTTATATATATATATATATATATCTATATATATATATATATATATATATATATATATATATATACATATATATGGAATCTTGGAAATGGCTCCAACGATTTTCATAAAATTTAGTGTCCACGGAGTTTCTGGGGCGATAAATCGATCAAGCTAGGATTTATTTTTAAAAAATGTCTTTTTGTCCCTGTTTTAAGACATTGAAAAACTGCTACAATATAAGAAGGTAAATTTTGATACTTTTTTTAATTGATCGTAATAGCTCAAGTGGATATCGAGCGGTCGCGAAATCGCAACGCCTTGGGTCCTGTCTTCGGTCCGAATTTTTTTCCTCTTTTTTTTTCAAGTTCCTTTCTTTTGTGAGAAAATCTATTATTTCGAGCCCTTTTTAAGTATTTTTTAAAAATACGAAAATTTTAATTAAAATTTCACTTATGATTTTTTATTCAAATACAGTAGTTAACTGAGCAAAGCTCGGTCATCCGGGTACTATATAAATTACGTGTCACGTTGTTTGTCAGCGATGGACTTATAAACTACTTAACCGATTTTAATTAAATTTGCATACCGTGTGCAGTTTGGTCCAACTGGAGAGATAGGATAGTTTTAGCCCATGAGTGACCCACAATTTTTTTTTGCTAATTTAAGGATTTTTAATAGGACATGCCAAAGGGTCGTCGAAAAGGGCAGAGCAACGTCTGCCTGGCAAGCTAGTAATATATAAAAATATCTTTATAATAGGTCTAAGTACTATACTTTTCTGCCTAGATCATCCGTCCGTCTGGTTGTACCTATTTGTGCCTCCAAATAGCAGGGCTTGCACTGCTGTGTTCCAGGAACAGTATTATTACGGACTGTGGAGCATCCATCTTAGTCCTCAGAGGTGACAGCATAACTGCTGCCTTCTATGTTTGAAGTCGTCCATGGACTGCAGCAACCGCTTACCATCAGGTGAACTGTAAGTTCGTTTGACACAGTTTTATAAAATCTAAAAACTACTTTGGCCTTATATTAATTTGTCAGTAAAAAAAAAAATATCAAAAACAAGAGTAGAAAAACGTAAAAATCAAATAAATGATTAGCATAACATATAACGTAATAAATATTCGGTAAAAATTATCCAGTTTTTTATATTTTGTTTTATTAATATCGATCAATACTTAGTAAGTCTTTAACCATTTGCATCATTAATATTCGATACGTCCGCACATGTTTATTGACGAAAACGTGATAAATACGTTTTTAGTCAGGATCAAATTTTAAGTTGCAATTAAAATTCTACATTTTACGGCTTAGATTCACACGTATCTCGTATTTGTTTAAATTAAACCTATAAAAAGTGAAAGAGGAAAGCGTGTAAAAGCTTCTTTTCACTTTATGGTCTAGAAAGTGAAAAGAAGAATAGTAGAAAGTGAAAGACTTTATAGTTAGTTCAGTTAATATGCAAAGCTTCATGATCTAATTTAAAGTATTTTATGAATACCAGCGGTTTATTGTTCAGTTTGGAGGTAACTTTAGATTTTTTTCTATAGACAAATTTTACGGAATCATGCTTTCGTCTAACATAGTACTTAACATTAATCCTCAACTTTACCATATATTTATTTAAAAATTAATGCTGCAATATTTGCGGCGTAAGGAAGGATTTTGCTAAGCCATTTGAGGTAGTATAGGCCCTTAATAACAAAAAAGTTTGTACCCAACATATTGTATTAAGAAGTTTCTCTCCTAATAACAGTTTTATGTACACAGTATCAGTTATAACTTAGTCATTCTGCTAAGCGTAACAATTATAGCAACTCGTCCGGATAATGGCCCCCGGTCTAGATATTTTAATTTCCGATGCTGCACGAATAAGTATTCAGTAGGTAGCATCCTATTTAATTTTATCAGTTATTTATTATACATTTCTTTGATTAGTAATTAAACAAAATGGGTATTAA